TATGGGCTAATGTCAGACTTATGGGCTTGGACTGGACTGAACTGGGTTGGGATGCTTAATGTACAAGTACCCTTTATATAAAACACTCTCTTATAAAATATGAGTGTTTATGAATTTTGTTTCTCTAGTCTACCTAGACTAACACAGGTGCGTTGACTTCTGTATGGAGTTGTGCTGTGTGGTGGTCTCTTGGTAAATGTGGTTCTTCTGTCCAAAGTGAGTTGGGAAGAATTTTTTGTATTACTGACTTTCTTTTAACGCATTTTCTGAGATTTTCCTTGTCTCAGAAACCTCTTACCTATCTGTATAGGTTGATGAATACTTTGGCGGGATAGAGGATTCTTGGGTTGGTGCTATTCTCTTTCAACTTCCAGAAGGTGCTACTCCGCTCTCTCCTCGTCTTCGTGGTGTCTGCTGATAAGTTTGAGTATATTCTTATTTAAGTACCCATATAGGTGACTACCTTTTTTCTCTCTCGCTGCTCTTATGATTTTCTACATTTCCTCAAAGTTGGATAATTTGACTACTATATGCCTAGGTGAATTCTTCCTGGGTTTCAGTCTTATTGGTGTCCCCTCTGCTTCCTGTATGATTGTTTGACTCTCATTCATTACGTTGGGGAAGTTTTCTTCCAGGAATTCCCTTGCTATTTTGGCTGTGGATTTCTTTGTTGTGTCCTGTTCTGTCTGGTATCCCAATTACTTGAATGTTGTTCCTCTTCATAACATTATTCATTGTTCTCAAACTTTCTACAGCTTCTTTGATTATCCAGTTTGATTGCCTTTCCCCTCTGTTGAAATCTGCTTGGTTATCTTTGAGATCTCTGATACAGTTCTTTGCCTCTTCTAACCTGTTGGTGAGGTCTCTGACCTAGATCTTTGATTCTGTTGCCTTGTTGTATCTCCCTTTGATATGTGGACTCTATCTTTTCTATTGTTTCATCCTTTTTCTGAATGGATTCCTTCATATCCTGTGTGACTCTAAGCAGCATCCTGAAGATTTCACCCTGTGGTGGTTCAACATCTGCTTCTCCTATGAGCAATGTTAGCTTCAGGTCTCCCTCTGACAATGTGTTTTATTCCTCTTGCTTTCTTGTAGAGGTTGCTGTTGTAGGTTGTTGTGTGCATGTTGTTTTGGTGGGGCTCAGTGCCATTTTCCCAGGAGTCAGGAGCCCTGAGCTATCTCTCTGGGAGGCAAGTAAGAATGATTCTTAGGGCTACCTGTAGGCAGCTGCACTGCGGGATTGGGCTGCTTCTCTATCTCACTAGGGGTTGATTCTCTCCCTAGACAGCTGGGATTACCTATATGGAGGGCAGAGAGAGTGGCCCTTTCAGGCAGCAAGGGTGGTGCTGTGCATGTCGATTGCATGGGAAGCCCCAGGTGCAGTGCTTGAGGCAGTGTGGAGCACTGTGGAGGGTGGGTGGGGTTTCCTGAAGTGGGGAGTGCCCCATAGGGTGGGGGTGCACTGAAGGGTGGACAGGGGGGCCTGGAAATGGTGTGAACCTGCTGTGGTGTGGATGGTGCTTGCTGGGAAATGTAGGCACCAGACCATAAATAGCTGGAGCTGTACAGTGCCTACAGGTAGGGAATTTTGGGATAGCACTGTGGGGAAGTTGTCAGAGAACAGTTCTGGGGTGCTTTGAGGGCTAATTATGGGTTCCTCCCACTCCCTGAGCCTCCTGATCCCTGAGCTCAATGATTGCCACAAAGCTCCCAATGCAGCCCTTTTACCTCAGCGCCATCTTGCTAGAAGTCCGAGAATTGGTTCTTGGGACTCTCAAAAGGTACAGTGTTTGAATATACCTTGAAAATATCAAAGAAATAATAAAATCAAGAACAACAAAACAAGTGCGTGAACAAGTAGTAACAAAATATGTGACTTCTGTTTTCTGGAATGAATAAAAAGGAGAAAATTCCAAAAGGGTGAATGAGTCTCTATAATGCTGAAGGAGAAAGCCTGTTTCCTAAATAACCCATTTTCCCAACCAATTAGAGATTCAAAATTGAGTGGGGTGGCAAACTCACTGCCACTGAGTCAATTTTGACTCATATGACTGTGTAGGACATGGGTTGACTTGCATCTTTGGATTTCTGAGACTAAATCTTTATAGGTGTCGACACCCTCACTTCTCCCCCGTGGAATGCAGAGGATGAGTTAAAATGGCTGATTTTCTGGTTAGCAACTCATATGTAACCCAGTAAGCCACCAGAGCTCCTAGTGGGGTGACTAATCACATTAAAAGAACAAACCATGCATGATTTACAGAGATCTCCAGATATACCCTTGACATAGTGACATAAGCAATATTCATGTATCAAAAACAAGAGGGAAAGGATGGGAAACTAAAGTGTAAAATGTCATGGAAGAGGCATCATCTGACCTCTTTTAACTTCACATGTGGAGAAGAGGATCAAGTTCAATAGCCCAAGAATGGTTCCTATGAGACAGAGGTGAAGCATGTTTCCAATCTGCAACCATTTTTACCAATTCTTAAACTAAACGTTCTTCCTATGGCATGCTTTCCTTCTCTGCTGTGACAAAATTTGTTGCAACAGTCATACAGAGCTCACAGATTACACACACTCCCATGCTTCCATGAGTCTGTAGCTATTGCAACAAATTCCACTTCCAGTACCAACTGTAAGAATTACTTGAAGGGGGAGGCGTCTGCTATGTAGCCTCACAAGGTGGGGGCCAGGTCATTAACAGTATCATCAGTCCAATTTCTATGAGACAATAGTCAGACATGCTTTTACCTACTAACCTTTTTAAAAAAACAAAACAAAACAAAACAAAACAAAACACCAGTTCGGACACCAGCCATTCCTTCCCCAACACTCTCTACTACTAGGCTGAATTCAATAATTCGTTGCAATGGTCACAGAACTCACAGACTAGGCTCATGTTTATACGGTCTATTTTGGATGTAACTGCTTACAATTCAGGATCTAGTCCCCTGATATATAGAAGTGTAACATCAAAGGGACTAACATGTCAGGGCAGAGAAGCAGAAGAAGTAGATACAGGGGACTATATTTCTTGTCCCCTAAGTCTAGGTAGTTCCCTGCACAGGGACCCAGACTCCAAAGGATGTACCCCATTCCCATATCTTCTATTTCAGTTGTGTAAATTCTCCTCTGTGCTCTAGATTTGGTTTCCTTTAAGTCTAGAAGGAGAGCAGAATTGACAGATGGCTCCATTAGGGTTTTACACACCTTATTCACATGATCCAATTCTATAAAAGATGTGCCCATGAAAGCATATTGCGTTGTGCAAATATACTGCAAATGCTCTCTTTAAAATGTTAAAAAACCAAAGGTATCTCTTTGACGACTAAGATGTGCCTGATCCAAACCATTTTCTTTTCTTTTTAACAGTTTTATTGGCACTTCACCCACACACCATACAATTCAGTAGTTCAATCATATCATGAAGAGTTGTACAATCATTACCACAATCAATTTTAGAACAATTCCTTCTTTCTTGTACTCATTGTTATTTGTGTAATTATTTTTTAATGGTGTCAAAAATATACATAACAGAACATTCTCCAACTTAAAAATTTCTACATGTATAATAACATCAACTCAATGCCTACCTAAGCAAGTACTCTTCCTCCTTCACCCATGTTAACCATAAATCAAGTTTGGATTTTTTTCTTGATTTAGCCTTCCCATATCACACACTTCCATAATTAAATCGCTTTAAAGAAGTTGTATATATATATATGTCATCACAATTTGTTCTAACGCTCCCTCTCCCCTCCTGCATTTATTATTTGCTCTCCAATTCAACCCCAACCTCCCACATCCCTCTCTTCGTACCCAATCAACCATTCCATCAGTTATTGTCTCTATGCATCCACTCATTCTGTGCCTCATAAACTGGGGAAACTAACAGGAACAATAATAAACAAAAATGAAATGAAACAGAAAGACAAAATAATGATAATATAAGGATTAAAAAAAGTAAAGAGAGACATGAAAGACCACTAACAACATTAAACAAGCCATATAAGGAATTTCTGTTGTGGAACAAGTGAGAAATATTTCAGCTTAAAACAACTTCCGGTTGGGTCAAGAGGGAAGTTAACTGACCAAGATAATATTGTACACCATGGTACTTTCAACTGCCCCATATGCATATGAAAGATACACAGTGAATGAGGATAACTGAAGAAGAATGGATGCCTTTGAGTTATGGTGCTGGCAAAATTATTGAATATACCATGAACGGTCAGGAGAATAAACAAATCTGTCTTGGAAGTATACAGCCAGAATGCTCCTTAGAAGCAAGGATGGAAATATTTCATCTCACATACTTTGAACAGGTTATCAGGAGGGACCAGTTCCTGAGGAAGGACATCATGCTTAGTTAAATAGAGGATCAGCAAAAATAATAAGACCTTACATGTCATGGATTGATATAGTGGCTACAACGATGGATTCCAACATAACAGCAATTGTGTAGATGATGCAGGACGGAGAACTATTTCTTTCTGTTGGACAGAGATTTGCTATGAGTCAACACAACACAACACAACACAACACAACTGCATGGAGCTACAAAAAAAAAAATCCCTTTCAATGGTGTCATGCCACCCTCCTTTGTGGGCCACAGACACTTACTTTGTTGTATTGCCCAGTCCTTTGGTGGGAGTTGTGAAGATTGTGACTAGAAGAGTCTAAGTAACTCTCTGCAGGATGTCTAGCATGTGTGTAAAGATTATTGGAGCAGAATGAGATAAACACAATGCCCCTTAGGCCCCCAGAAAATTCATAAAGTATGATGTTAGAAAGTTACATGAGGCTGGTAGGTGCTGAGAGAGGATGGATATACTATGAGCAAGAGAGGAGATAATGAAGAAAGTACCATATAATTGGCAGAAACAAATTTAATCACATTTGTTGTTTGAATGAGTGATAAATAGAATCTATATGCCTTATATTTTGCATATAGGTTATGTATAGTATTAATGCATTTTAGAATATCCAGCTACTTAGACTAACATGCTCTGGGCCAGCTGGAATCTCCCAGTGACCTTTCTGAAGGCATCTTTCACATCCTTGTTTCTCAAGCTGTAGATCAGAGGGTTGAGCATGGGGATGACCACAGTGTAGAAGACAGACACGACCTTGTCTTCTTCCAGGGATTTTTCTGAGCCACTCCGTATATACATGAAGGTGAGAGTCCCAAAGAAGAGGGCCACAGCCGTGAGGTGGGACACGCATGTAGAGAAAGTTTTGGCCCTGCCACCTGAAGATTTCATCTTTAGGATGGCCTTGATGATGAACAGATAGGAAATCAGGATGACCAAAGCATTGACCACGATCACAAAGTTGCCAAAGAAAACAATGATAATCTCCATGCTTCTTGTGTCACTGCAGGCGAGCTTAAGCAGGGGTGGGAGGTCACAGAAGAAGAAGTTGATCTGATTGTCATCACAGAAGGTGAGGGTGAAGGTACATGCGGTACGCAGTATGGCCCCTGACACACCACACACGTAGGCTCCTACTACCAAACTCCAGCAGATTCTGGGATTCATGGCCACAGTATAAAGCAGTGGGTTTCTAATGGCAACATAACGGTCATAGGCCATTACTGCCAGCAGGAAACACTCGGTACTTGCACAGATGGTGAAAAAAAAGAACTGGGCAGCACATTGGCCATAAGAGACAGTTGTCTTGCCTGTGGACAGTGTGGCCAGGATCTGAGGAGTGATGACTGAAGAATAGCAGGCGTCCAAGAGGGAAAGATGGCTCAGGAAGAAGTACATTGGAGTGTGGAGATGGGCATCTAGGTGGATCAAAACGACCATCCCCACATTCCCCAGAAGGGTGACTAGATAGAAACTCAGAAATACCATGAAGAGGGGAATCTCTAAATTGGGGTGATTGGCAAAGCCCACGAGGATGAACTCAGTTACTGTGGTGAGATTATACTTGGCCATGGGTGGAATATTGGTCTAAGACGAAGAATGAAATTAAAAAGCAATTTCAGAATTGAAGGTCAAATTCTTTCTGTGATTGAAGTATGAGTTACATTTCTGGGTCAACCTCAAAGAGCTTAATTTTCATAATGTACCTGCTTGATTCTCCTTGGAGTTCTGATTTCTTTTTATGCATTTCATGAAGCTGAGCCTTAAGTTGTGCTTCTATTCAAATTGTTCTTGCTCATATTTGAACATTCCTACAAGAGTAAGAGACACACAGATGTTCATATTTGGAAGTGATCCTGACGGCAGCTATTCTAAACCCCATGGAATTGTACAGTCTCCTTTAGGGTATAACCATCATGTGGTCATCCAGGAGCTGTGTCAAATACGTGATGCAGAGGTTGCACCTGACCTTGTCTGACTTCTCAAGGAGAAGCAACTAAATCGTCAGTATGGGCATCAGCTTCCCAAGGCTGATTCTTCTGACGGTGGTGCCAGGCATGCCATCACTCTAACACCTTTTTACAATTTCTGATAACAACCATCCCTCCCACAGCTTTCACCACTGCTCAGTGTTTGCCAATTCACTGCAATGGCCATGTAGAACTCACAGAGAATACTCATGACCATTGAGTTTATTAGGGAAGTTAACGGATTGTAACTCACGTGAGAGAAATTTGTGATATAGCTGTTCCCTCAGGACAATCTATTTCCTGATATCCCTGCAGGCAGGCCTCCCTCCATCCCCAATCTCTTGTCTTGGATCTACCCCACTCCAAAGCTGCTTTAGAGATGCCAGTAAATACCCAGAGGGCATGTACTTCCATCTTAAGCCTCTGCCTGAAAGCAATGAGCTCTAAATCTCTGGGTCAACAGCTAGCTCTCCCAATTAAGTATCCGCTGGCACCCCATACCACAAGTAACTCTCCTTGTTCTGTGGCCTGAGAAGTCACAGCTCTGGCTCTCCGTTGTGTTGCTGCCACTGCTACCCCTCATCTGTTACTGTCTCTTGTCTCAGCTGTTTCCTGGATCAAAGAGTTTCCGTGCAGAGGGATCTTGGTGCTAGTGAACACATTTCGTTCCTCATTCATGTCACTTGCTAGTAGTGAAACCTCCCTTTCTGCTTCTGAGATGGCTCCATTTAAACACAGGAGGATGGTAACTGACCAATTTCCTCATTGTATGTGCAAGTTGTGACTGTAAGCAGTCACAATTAACCCTGTTCACAGTCATTCACAGCTGAATCCTTTCAGTATCTTTCTCTATGTCTCTTATTCAGACCCAACAGGACAAAACTTGTTTGGTGGGATTTACAAAAACAACGGCTAAAATGTCTATATTCACTGTACTGTGTGAGGCTCTTTCATTGGACAGCCCTAGGTGTTCATTTCTTTCTGAACCACATTCTCTCTCCCTGTACCACCCACGCATTAGCCTTTGTTTTATACTTTCCATAGTTACAATTCTAATCCCTTCTCATGAAAGACTTTCAGAAATTGGAAGGTCATCTACTTTTGATGTTGACTATTCTCTCAGATTACACCTTAATACAGTTTCTTTTTCTTATGTAATTATTTGAACGTACTTTTTTTTGGTTCAAGACTAGTTAGAATGGCATCAAATGAAAGCTAAAAGTCTTTTTCGCCACCTAACATTCACTCTCCTTGCTCAGATGTCATCCTCTTCAATATACCATATCGATTTTCATTTCGGTAATTTAAATCACCATGATTAAAAGTGTGTTCAAACTTGTGGGCCTGCTCATCTAGTTGTAAGTCTTTAGGCACGTTATCTAATCTTTTCTTCTTTAATTTCCTTATGCATAGTCTGAAAAAAAATGTCATAGTGTTATTTTGAGTAGTAGATAAGTTAGTAATTGTAAAAGGTGTTGAGCTGTGCCTGGCACCCAGAAAGAGCCATATCACATTATCATCATTAATTTTAGATAGTATGTATTGACTTCCTGTTCTGGAAGAAAATGTATTTTCTCATATAAACTTTATTATAATGCGCTCTTTAGACCTTTTATGGATTTTCATACTTTAAAATAGGACAGATATTAGGACATTTCTTCCAAGCCTCCCTTAGTCCATATACTTTAAATAATATATTTGCATCTCTAATTCTTTGTTTCAATAATTGAGTGACTAGATCTGAAGTGTCACTGACTTGGATGAAGAATTTATTCCACCTTTCTTTTCTCCATCTTCTTTGTCCCATTAAAAAAAGCAAAACAAAACAACCAAAAATACCACCCCCTTCTTTCAACTATATCTGCTATTCCTGTTAAATCTTCTGTACTTTGCATATGAGTTAATTCAGGAAATAGTAATTGGTGCTTATTATGGTGACACGTACATTGTTTTCTGAAAAATATGTAAAGAAAAAAATGTCAATTTCTTCTAGTATATGCTTTCAAGCATCGAGTCAAATGAATACTTAATCCCTAATTGCTTAGGATAGTTATGGCATGGTTTCTTTTAAGTCATGGTATTTTTTCATTTAATACATTTCTATTAAAATTGCTATGTAATCATTTGAGTCACATCGAACCATTCCAAGTCCATGAAAGATGCTAAGTTCTGAGTGTTTTTCTGTGAACTTTTGCAAGGAAAGTCAGGATCATATAACTTTTCTTCCAAGACAGCTGTACTGTAATAGGACCTTCGACATACAATATTTTATGGATTTCTTCCAACAATCACATGGAAGAAGTGACAAGCTTATTTGAAAATGAGAAACTGAGACCAGACATTTAAAGTTATTTTTTGACTTCCATTTCAGTGTTTAGATTCAGTCTTCATACCAAAGTCTCCTGAATTCATTACTTTATCACACCCTCCTGGATGGTTTGCTTGGCTTCCTCATTAATATCTCCACAATCTTCTCAGGCAAGACTTTGCTAATTCAGAGTCCTTGTATCTATAATGAACTCCCTGGCTATGAACATTATATCATCCAGATACCCTGTCGAATCCATGAACATCAAAGTTGGATTATTTTTAAAGACTCCATCCCTTATAGCACAACTAGGAATTCTCTTTGCTGTAGTAACATGTAGATTGTCATTTTTGACAAGATCCATAGTAATAAAAACTGCTCTTCATGATGCCTGTTTATTATTTTAAACATTTTCAAACTCATGAATATCCTCCATACCCCTGTGAAATGCACATGATTGACACTTTCATTAACCTCGAGTTAGTAAAACAGACCCTCAGAAAGGCTGAAAGTAAAAAAGTCAAAGAATTAGTTGCTTGCAAGCTTGGGCATAGTTGGCACAAATAACTGTGAGATTTCTCTCCCACCTGAGTTCTAATTCCTCTGAGACCTATCAGCAAGAGGATCTGAATTTGTGATGAAGTCTCCAGTCAATCCAGATACCTGAAGAATCATCATAATAACTTTACTCTCTTTGTGGGAAGAGGGGCACAATTCCATTAGGCCTAGTGAATGCTGCCCTTGGGTTAGAGACCTCCTCCAACTCAAATCAGTGGTCATATGAGGGAGTACGCCCTAACTGTAATTGTGCTGGGTGGAGTGGGGGCCTTCATACTATGCATTTTTCCTGCTAGGTGAGCATTGAGCAACTCACTCTGAGTTAGTGCACCCAGTGCGGTTGCCTGGGAATGTTCCCTCTGGTCACAGTGAATTTTTTCATGAAAGCAGTTTCGCTGCAATCTTGTTTTTTGTGATGGCCGATTTAAAAGAACAGCTGGTGGCTATGAAATTTTGTTTCCTGCTTGGGAAAATGCTGCAGAAACTGTTGAACACACCTTACAAGGACAGCACTATGGGAAAAACTCAATTGTACGAGTAGTTTTCTCATTTCAAAAGAGGTGAAATCTTGATTAATGACAAACCTCATTCTGGACATCTGTTAACCTCCAGAATGGAAGAAAATGTTGACTTGTAATGCATTTGAAGTTTGTTCCACTAGGTCAGATTGTTAATCAAGCTTTCTATTTAGAGTTCTGAAAAGATTATGCAATGGTGTGTGACAAAAAAATGCCTGATTTATTTCAGATGGGGGACAGGTTTTGTCACCAGGACAATGCACCTGCTCATGCATCTGAGTGCACCAGTTTTTGGCAAAAACCAGTACGTCTCTTGTCCCACACACCTTACTCCCCTGACCTCGCTCCGCGAGGCTTCTTTTAGTTTCTGTGAATAAAGAGAGACAGGAAAGGAGAGTGATTTGATGACATAGGAGAGGTGAAAAAAAAAATGAGGGAAGTCTTGTCAGCCATCCAAACAGATGAATTTGAAAAATGTTTCCAAGAATGGAATAGCAGATTTGACAAATGTAATACATGTAATGGAGAGTACTTTGAAGGTAATAAAATTGTTTCTTAAAAAAATTAAATACATAGTTTTGAAAAAAATTCCTTTGTGGGCAGGGAACCCCTTGTTTATCATAAAATGTAACTTCTTAGGGTCATTCTTCATCCTGCATCCCAGCTAACCACTTACTCTAACGGCAGGGTTTGGTGATTAGTTAGTTTCTTCAGATGTCTCTGTTGGTGTGGTCAAGCATCATAGATGTCATGTTTAGGACTGGGACTAACTCGTGTAAGCTTCAAACATTTACTTTTTTTCTTTGAGCTTTAATTTCTGCTCTGAAAAGTGGTGGGGCTATACTGTTACTTTGAGGCATCATTGAATTGCTTCCGACCCATAGCAACCATATTCCCAAAGAAGGAAACCCTACTTCTTTGTGCCATCCTCACAATTGCTCATTTGCTGGAGCCCATTGTTGCAGCCACTGTGTCAATCCATCTCACTGAGGGCCTTGTCAGTAATATAAGTCTCTCACACCTGTGCATTTTGTATACCTAGGTATGGGGGCTAAGTGAGGCTTGAAAGAGTTTTCCTATTTGAAAAATGGGTACTATTTACTGCCAACTATTATACACCGTGGGCTGCTAGATGAGCAAACAATCAATGTTAGAAGAAGTAGATTCAGAATGCTACTTAGAAGCAATGGTGAGAAGATGTTGTCTTACATAAATTGG